AGCCTTATGACATCTTTGCTGCTGGGTTATCAGTATAATCTCTGTCATCAGTGGCCAGAAAATGTTCACATAACAATGACAATATGATCTAATACAGAAGCTTTTGTGCACTCCTTGTTGCACTTCTTATAGTCAAGTCAGGATTTTGAGAGGGGAAAAACATACCCACAGCAGGCAACACGGTGGTTTTGGCCTCCAGGGCAACCTGCATGGTACCGACCCGAATGTGAGCGATGAGTGAGTTTAAGCCAGGATGAAACAGAACCACCTACAAATCAACATGTTAGATTAACTGGCTGTAGACAAAACATCAGCAAAGAATCAGAATGTGAGTATTTAATAGTAACTGAATGTAGCATCTGCATGCAATTATATTATTTTGTCATTGGGACAGATTATAATATTGTAGTATTGCCCTACTTTGAATGAAATAGATTTGTCTGTACAAAAGCATATGTTACATCTCTGCTTAATGTTCTGTATTTAAAGAAACTTGGTAACCAGTAACCAGTACAAAAGGCTTCATTTCTGAAGAGTCTAGGTCCTAGACTTGAAATAACAGTCAAACCAGAAATTTTGAAAACTGTAAAAGATGCTTTTTGGACAGCTTCCTCTTTTGCAGAAACAATGTAGGGTGTAAATACTAGAATTAAGGAAGAAGAACACTGTCCTTATAAAACAAGGGAATAAAAAAGAATAGCAAAATACAGAATTATTCATTCACTTGAAATGACAGCACGAGGGAAAGGTTAATTTTTCAATGGCTCTGGCTCTAGTGATCCTGTGATACACTCTTTGTGCTTAAACCCGACAGTTATCATTCCTGCTGAGTTATGCATCAACCTAAATTGCTAAATGCAACCAATGAGATGACCTGTAGGTCCAGTAAGTGTATTAGTATGTTCCTAAAATGTTAGTTTTCCTATTTTAAGTTTTTGTTTCATTGAGAAACTGCTGCACTTTTGAAGACCTCAGTGACCTCATTGCTGGATATGCCCAATCGTGTGTTGTGTATGGATTAATGTAAACTATTTTAAACAATTATTTAGGCTTAATGTTCACTATTACACTTCCATCCAGCCATTTTCTACCGATTATCCAGGTTAGGGTTGTGGGGGCAGCAGTCTGAGCAGAAAAGCCCAGGTTTCCTTCACCACCTCCTCTAGTTTATCCAGAGGGGACACCGAGTTGTTCCCAAGCCATTTGTGAGATATAATCTCTTGAGCAAATCCTGGATCTGCCCTGGTGCCTCCTCCTGATAGGACATAACTGGAATACCTCACCTACGAGGCATCCAGGGGGCATCCTAGACAGATGCCCAAACTGGGTGAACTGGCTCCTTCCAATCTGGCTCTACTCTTATTCTCTGAATTAATTGACCTAAATCCATTTAATCAGTGGTGGAGTTATATTTATTTAGTTTGCCTTGGACCCAGTCACATTAGCTGTTTTCCAGTCTTTGTACTTCTCTCATGTATGATGAGAAAGTGTTAGTTTTCCTATTTTATCTTTTCGTTTCATTGAGAAACTGCTGCACTTTTGAAGAGGAACTATGTGAGATATGGACTTATTAAGATAAACTGGCATGTGTGTTACCTTCGCGGTCCAGTTGGTCTGGGTCATCTTCCCAGAGGTCGAGACGGTATGTGTGAAGATTTTTCCATCATCAGGAATCCAGGGGCCACAAATGCTCTCTGTTGTCTGTTAGTGAGGAAAAAACAGAAAACTTTATTTTTATGAGAGAGCTTTTTATCTGTTTACTTATCTGTCAGACATTACATAGATGGACTACATCTAGAAAGTAGATCTGGGAAAAGTAAACGGATCCTAAGGTGTCTTAGACCTGCAGTTTCTCACCACTAAGGGGTGACTACTTTGGGTAGAAAATAAGTGAATATGTCAAGAAGTCTATTAGAAAATGATCCCACTGCTTATGTAATCTGTGACCTCATTAAACACTAGTCTGGTTTATTTATGGCCTCTGTTGCGAGTTTAAAGTTTAACTGAAATCAGCATAATTTAGTAAATTATGGTCCCAATTTTGAGTTAAACTGTGTAAACAGTTTAAGTTTTGGAGCTGACCAACCTTGGGATTAACCTGTATCTCCATAGTACTCTATTGTGTGAGGATTGGTGACAAAATTTGCCAAACTACATTTTGCAACTGGATTTTGGAGTTCTCTGTGGATTGTGTTACAGAGAGGAGTGATGAAGACAAAAAGAAGCAGTGCACCATGTATCCCAGCGGGCAGGAGTGGATGTTAGCGTGGTGAATGCAGCAGTTCTCGCCATTTGCATCTTTCCAGTTGGCCGGACATTCGTGATGTTCACAGAACCTCCGAGCTGATTCAGCGTCTTCTATGTGACTGAACACACAGACAAAGCAGTTTATCTAGTTTATTTTGTTCAGTCTAAAATTATTCTGCTTTATACCCAGTTTAACCAGTTTACCTTTGAGTGAAGACGCGGTTTTGGACGGCCCAGTGGTAGAAAGAGTCCTGGGCGGTCACCGAGTATATGACACTGAATACCTCACCACTCTTTATCAACTCTGGAGGACGAAGAACCCAAGCCATCTCCAGACCTGGACGAGAGCCACAGGATAATAGACAGACAGAGATTTTAGACTGCAATCTTTAAAATAAATAATTTCAGCCTTCACTGGGGAGCTGTAATACTTGTTATTTAATCTCGAGACCAACCAAAATCTCTCTTCAAGACCTACGGTTAATGATTGTATTGTAACTGCCGTCTGTTTTCTCACCTCCACAGTCGATCATGTTGTACTCGTTGGGCCTGTCCAGAGGCCAACAGTCGTACTCGCTGTTGTCCAAATCGTGCCAGCAAAACACCAGACCAACACCACAGACAGACACCTGGAAACCACATGACACGTGTTCAATGACCAAAATTACACCACAAATAAAAAAGGAAAAAGCATCCAGAGAATCATCCGAGGTGCTCACATGATTAAAAACTATGGACCTGAGCTCGTTCCTTTGAATTTAAATACATTAAACTTTAGGCCTGTAAGAAAAGGTGTTTCATATATGATGTCTTACCCAGAACAGAAACCAAAGTCTTTGTTGTTTCTTCATACTGTTGCTGTTGAAAGACAGACAGGTGGACAGGATGGAGACAGGTAGGAAGACTGACTGAGAGTCTCGGACATCTGCAGCTTCTGAGCTGCTCGCTCGCTGTGGAGTCAGAGCTGATGGAGCGGTGGTAGGTAGAGCGAGGCAGGAGACACTAGAGAGAGAGAGAGAGAGAGATTGGATTCTGTATTTCTCCCGTGCGCTGTCAAAGCTGAATTCAATGTTTTACCTAGAGATGGCTACACTTCACTGCCCTCTGGTGGTGGCTGCTGTTACTGCACTGATCTTTAAACATTTACTATTAGCTCAGTTGAGTTTTTCCCTCTCTACATTTTTAATTCTCTACCGATAAAGGCTTTAAAGAATTAAGAAATATTGTATTGTTATTCACTATGCAAACCCAGTTTTCTATGTGTGGTCTTTTGGAGTTTTTTAGATATTTTTTTTTATATTTAAAAGACAAATTCTTCTTCAAACTTCTTGCAGGTTTTTTTAAAGAGTCAACATGCGCTGACTTCACTTGCTTTATTTACTTTGTAATGATGGATTAAAGCAAAAAAAACAAAAAACAAACAAAAAACTTGTCAGTTACAGTTTAACCCTGTAAGGCAGCGGTGTCAAACATTTAGCCCACAGGAAGTAAACCAGCCCACTGGATGGATCTTTTGAACTGTTAAGATATTGTGACAGACTTTACCCATGATCTGCTGCACCACACTGCAGGGATCTGTGCTGATGGCTCTCCTTGGGTTGTTCCCAGTACTGAATGTGGAAAAAGCCAGACATATTGATGACTTTGCATTTAATTTTAGATTGTAGGAAATATTTAAAGATGCTTTTCACAAACCAACCAAGATGTTTGCATAAAGGTTATCTCAGTTTGTTTTTTTTTACTGGTCTAGCCGAAAGCAGACCAAAACTGGTCTGTATGCAGCTGATGGTCCACCCCCTTGCTTGAAGGTTTATGACTTATTGTGAGTGTTCAGGATGTTACTCTAAAAAATGAATGCTACATTCCTTTCCTTATGTAATTACTCAATAGTTTTCCCACTCTTGTCCATTTGAGAAATACAAATTAAAGTGTCCTTATGTCTACTCCAAAGAGGTTACAGACCTCTGTGTCCTACACGAGCTGAAATCTGCTGATTTGTAGCACTAAATAGCTTTTTTTCTTTCTATCTGCTCATCATACAGACAACTGAGGAAACTTTGTAACATACATAACGGCATATTTGTAGCTAATGTAATCACTGATGTTAACACACACACACACACACACACAAACACACAAACCCACACACACACACACACACACACACACACACATAAAGCTGGCTGTAGCTCTGGTATTTTAGGTTCCTATATAACTCACAGATTTTACAAAGACTGTAATCTCCAAAAGAAAACAACAAACCAGCCAGCTCCTGACAGCTGTGCCAGCTAATTGTAAACATGAACCACATCCTTAATTATCACTAATGAGATCATTTAACTTCAAATATAACTGTTATAAAATTGCCATGCTTTCATTGAGTTATCCCTTTGTTTTTATTTATCCATGAAGACATATACGAGGGTCATAAACTGCAAACTATATATTCTTATCAGAATTTAAACATCTATGTTAATATCTTAAATATTGATATAGAGTAACACAGTGTCAGCCGTATTTTATTTATTCCATATTGCCTAAATTATTTTTACAGCAGTTAAAATGTTGATGACAAAATAACACTGTTATTATTGTTCTTGTTGTTATTACTAGTACTACCGTCAATAATAATAGTAGTAGCGACAGCAGTGAGAAAAAAAGTATCAGTAATTATTTATTAACATTGTAACTTTGGTCGCGCCTGACTGCCTAAGAACATGACGTCACAGGGGAACAGCTTCATGAAGTGAAAGGCTCTGATTGGTGCAAGATGTTCATGAAAACGGACGTGAATGAGTAACCCCACGCGCCCACGGTCCATCTGTGTTTATGCATCAACAGAGAGCGCGTGGGGGTTAAAGAAACAAATCTATCTTCGTGTTAACGACTCTAAACTTCCTGCTCGCGCGCTGTCTGAATGTCTGTCGGGTTATTCCCCGGCACGCGACTCCACACAGTCCAATTCAAGCGCGCGAGGACACTCTCCCGGCTCTCTTTCTCTCGCGCCTGCTCGCGCGCAGGGCAGTGAGAAGCGCAATGATTTAGCGGCTTTTAATTCATTTTTCTCACATTTAGCATCGCAGCTGTGTTATTCTACATGTCGTTTTTGATCTATTTTTATGTTTTACTCACTGGATTCAGCGGCTTTTTGCACTTTTGATGAGCCTTTTTTTTAACCAACCGCATGTTTTAAATGTCTCAGGTTTTTTTTTTATTTTACGCACTGTGTAAGTTTGCACGGGTACCGGTTCCCTGCCGAAATCCGAGATATTTGGAGCGAACTGCTTGACTAACCCGGGCCGTGCTAGTGTTAGTGTCCCGGGTTAAAACCGCAGGATGTTGACCATAGTTCTCCTGTCTTGCTTCTGTTTGTGGACACGGGGCCAGCGCTTGGACCACGACAGGTCAGGAATTTCTTTTTCGTTTTAGCTGGTTAAGCTTTTTTAAGGCAATTTCATTGAAAACATGTTTTAAAAATAAATGTAACTAGATAATTCTAAATAATCTTGCTCACAATGATACATTTCAACTGTGGTGCTTTTCAGTGACAGTCACAGCAACGCACACCTGTGCAAAACACGAGCGTCTTCTTCCTCTCTGCATGGTCTTGTTTCTAATTAAAGGGTTTGGCTCAGAAACAGTGCTGAAGAAAAGGCAAACAAGTCAAACACTTTAATGTCTGTGCAATTAAAGAACATTTTAACTAAAAGACAGCAACTAAAACCGTGAATTCATTTCTAAGGGGAGAGACCTGGGAAGAAAGGAAGAAGAAAATCCAGAGTTAAAAAATAACTAGCAATGAATGATGATGGGAACACTGAGGAGGACATGATGAAGAGGGGAAAGTATGTGGAGGGAGTGGAAAAAAGGCACGCACAGCACCCTCCCCTCCTCTATGGCTGATATATTTCATGTTCAGACAGGCACCAGGAAACAGGAGATGTCAATAACACACACACAC